AGGGAAGGGGCCTGCAGACAAGCCAGACAAGCCAGACAAGGAGCTAGCGAGGGAACTAGAGGAGGAGGCTGGTGAAGAGTTGTGCAGTGAGGGAGGGGGTCCAGAGCTGACTTTCAGGTCCAAGTCTGACTCCCTGTTTTGTTTTAGGAAGTCACAACACATCAATTGTGCCAGTGATAAATACAGAGTATGTGATTCGGGGAGCTGGGATGAGCAAGGGAGGAGAGAGGGGTGCAAGGGCAGTCCTGGTCACTCTTTCTGCTTCTCCTCTTCTGTGTCTTCTCGCTTTTCCTCTTTTCCGCCCAGGCTGTCGGCGGCTGCCCCTCCGCCGCCCCCCGAAAGCGTGGACGTGAGATTAGATTCTTTTTTCCACTTCATCCGGCGGTTCTGGAACCAGATTTTGATCTGTCGCTCGGTCAAGCACAGAGCATTGGCGATCTCGATGCGCCGGCGCCGGGTTAGGTAGCGGTTGAAGTGAAATTCCTTCTCCAGTTCCAGGGTCTGGTACCGAGAGTAGATCTGGCGGCCGCGCCTCCGGTCAGCTCCGTAACCGACCCCTAGAGATCCGGGCACAAAACACACTAAAAACAATCAGCAAGGCGTCCTCTGAAGACATTTTCACCTAGCAAAGTCCAGAGGCTCTCAACTTGGCCCACAGCTCGAGGCCCCTTCGCCCCTTCGGACTCTAGCCTTCTCCCTTTTGCTCTGCCCCACCCCCACTGGGGGTACAGCCAGGACCCCAACTTCATTCAGACTTCCCACGAGGTGGGAGATGTGTGTCCCAAAGAAAGCTGGGGGGCGGGGCAAAAAACAGAAAGCTGGGCATCTAAAAGCTGATTTTTTTTTTTTTAAATCCCAACTACTGGGGATAAGGGCCCCATCTCTCAAGGACTGGGTTCCCCCACCTTTCCCAACATCCCAGTTCCCTGGAAAGTTCTCCCCACTTCTCTGACCTCTCCTAACTCCCTCCCTTCTCTCCAGCCTAACAAGACTTTGGGGGGCTCCCCCACCCTATGTCCCCTCCCCTCATTCCCCTGCCCTGTTCCTGCCCCCTCAGCTCTTCTTGGAGCCCTCCAATCCGTCAGGGACCGAGGGGGCCAGACCCCTACGAGCAAGCGCGGGAGGTGAGCAGAGGGGGCTGAAGAGGGGCCCTGTCTCGGTGTCGGCGAGGAGACGAGCGTGATTGTTTTTATGGGGCCATAAAAAACTCTCTCCGCCCGTTCTTCTAGGGAAGCCGGTCATAAAGCCAGTTCAGTTTATTTAATTTATATCTCGGAGCTGTAAAACTCACCACTGTGCGAATTCATTCGCTGCATCCAGGGGTAAATCTGGATACTGGCTTTCTGGTCCTGGGGCGCAGTCCTGCCCTGCTCAGAACTAAAATCCTGAGCGATTGAGGTCTGTGTGTTATGTCCTAAGGTGTTTTGTCTGCAGTTTGAGAGCATGTCTTTCTCCTGGTAAAAGGAATTAGATCCATAGTCATACGGCCCCCGGCTGGAACTGAACACGACATTCTCCTGTGGCGAATAAAAGGGAGTCGAGTAGATCCGGTTCTGAGCTACGGCTGCTCCATAGGTCGAGAAATGCCTCACTGGATCATAGGCGGTGGAATTGAGGGCGACGTTGGGGAGGACGTCCTGGCCCCCGGCGAGGTGGCAGGATAAGGAAGGGTTAGTGAAGTAGGAATTCATCCCTTTGCCTTTACCTGGTCGGGCTATGATTTCTTTAATATTTATTTCTGTCTCCAGTTTGTACTCGGAACTAGATGGTTATAGGGACGGCTCCAATCCAGGACAGACAAAATGACAAAGTCAGCTGACCCCCTTCCAGCCAATCGCAAGCCAGATGTCAAGAAGGGGGAAAAAAATCGCTTCTGCTTCTGTTGATTCCCTAGTTGAGACTAAGTGTGTGCTTTGAAAGTAAGACTTGGATTTCTTTTAAGAATATATATGTAAGGGAACTGGTGTGGGGGGGTGCAGGTCCATAAGCAGGGCCTTGTACCCTGCATAAGGAAAGGTCTAGTCCCAGGAAATGTCTCCGCCCCAGCTAACTTTATTGTGCTGTGGCCAAATGCAGGGCGAGAGAAATCCTTGTGTTTTCAGTCCGATTTCATCTTTCGAATTTTCTCCTTTTCTAAAATTACATCCTGATTGCTTCATTTGAGAAGATCCTTCCCAGTGGAAGGAAGTTCCCAGAAATTCTACAAGACATTCTGGCTTAACAACTATGAAGTGAGTCCCCGTCACTAGACAGCATATTTTTCCAATAATTAGAAAAATCAAAAGGGAAGGGAAATCTCCTGAAACACGGTGCAGTGGAGCAGTGTAGCTAAGAGTCTTGGATTAGAGGATATGTTGATCTCAAACGTGACAAGTGGATCTAAAGGGTGAGACCATGGGCTACAGTGGAGGTCCTGGAGTAAGCATCTGATCTCGTTTGCCTCCTACCCTACTGCTGCTCCCCCAGAACCTTGCTTTTGGGGAAATTCTTGCAATATTTTTGCTTAGGAGAAAGCATGTATAATAATGCATTATAGGAGAGAGAGAGAGAGAGAGAGAGAGAGAGAGAGAGAGAGAGACTGAGATTCTTTCTAAAGACATCAACTCCTGTTTATGTTGGTGAGAATTTATGATTTGGAACCAGCTCAGGCCAGTGGGGTACCACATAGGCTGCAGCCTGGAAGACAAAATTGGTGCGACTACAATGAACAGTTACCTTCCAACAGACTCAAGCCCCTGTCCAGGTCAGAAGACCCTATCTGCTCTGGATTTACTGCCCTGCCAGGCATGGTGCCCCTGGACCTGAGCTGTAATGCTGGAAGTCCCTAGGAAAGGATTCCTGAGGAGTCCTTGGGCTCTCACCCAGACTGTCACCTCTGGATTCTCAGCAGCCCTTACCTCCATTTTCTTCCCCACCTTGAGGCTGAGAAAAGGGAGGAGAAGATTAGAAAAGAGCAGTTTTGTAGGGGCTACAGAGAGCTTTACTGAGTGAATCGAAACAGCAGAAGGTGTGCAGCTGGGGTTTCCCTCTGATTAAATCAAACTGAATTTGATATCGACATAGGCTGGAAATACTTGGAGCTGACAAAGAGAGGATGGCAAGGTACAAGCAGGAAGCAGTGAAAGCTCATATTTTCCCCTCACTAATTTTTTTTTTTTTGAGACTGACTATAACAAGAACCCGGATGTCGCCGGGTTTTATGATCTTTTCCTTCTGTGTAACAAAGCGGAGCAATCAATGGGTAGCAATAAAGCCATAAACGGGACTATGCTGGGAAAAAAACTCGTTTATTCATCTTCAGTAACGTTAAGGTTTCCCTGGAGTGTCACTAGGGGGTGTGTTGGGGGGGGGATAAAGTTTAGAACCCAAAAGCAGGCTGTGTAGGAGCTAGTGCTGACAAAATGTTAGTTAACACATGAACCTCTTTAGGGGGGTTGAGGAGTCTTCCTGACAATTTGTGTTGGCTTTTAAAAATCCAGCCCCTGCCTTTGAAAAAGGAGGGAAACTGGCTGGAATTTAGGAGAGTAGAAGAAAGATCTCTGTAATTGTGGAAGTTTCTACCCCTTGGACTATACTATTTCTTCTCCAAGATGAAGAGGGTAGAGGAGGAGGCTTCCAATAAGAGAAAGATTTTTAAGAAGTTATCTCATCTGGGGGTAACATAGCAGTTACTCCCCCAAACACAGACACTAGTGTGTTGAGTTTTGCTTTCCAATCCATCTGTACTTGAATTCATGGCATGCCTGGGCAGAGGTTTCCAACAGCTGGCTGGGGCTCCAGTCCTCCTGGAGGGCAAGAGGTAGGGGGAGAGCTAACTGAGGGGAGGGTATCCTGGGGGCTGATCGAGGGAACAAGTCAGTGCACCCCTGGACACCAGTAGCCTCTTTCAAAGTTTCCAGCCTCCTGTCTGCCCTGAGGGTATCGGTGTAACAAGTAGAAGCCGTGGCAAGAAAAGAGTAAATTTCCCCCCTATTTCAGAATGAGATTGCTAGAGGGATAAATCATGTCAGTGGTACTTCCTTCAAGATATTAAATTGTTGCAATGTAAAACAAATTGAATGATGGAAGATAGGATGTCTTAATGAAGTTTTGCTTTCCATGAGTGTGGATTTTTGTGTATTTTAAAATCTCTCTTATGGATGTGTGGATGAGGGAGGGACCTTAAAAGAAAGAATGGGCTTTTGAGGGAACCATGTGCTACAGCCCCCTAACAAGGATGCCTGAGTTTCCTGGAGCCCCTCCCTCAATCATATCCAGAGATGAAAGGGACCCCAAAGTTGGAGAGATTCTTTTTTGGGGCCTAAAGGTGGTAGGCTCAGGGGTGGGCAACCTGAGGAACAGAATGTAAGTCTCAGGCCAACGAAAGTTAAGTGTTTTATTATGTCCCTAAACAGAGGGCAGAGACTAAAAGGTCTCACAGATTTATAATAAACAGAAACCAGCTGCTGGGGGGGGTCAAAAATGCTGGAAGGGGGAGACCAGGGGAAGCAGAAACACAAATATCTTCCCACCACCTAAAGACTTTGGGGGAAATTAACTTCCAGAACACTCTCCTGCATCCCTTTCTACCCCTAAAGGGGGAAGATCTCATTTCTTTTAGTTAGACCTTTAATTATGCATCTGAAATTTACTGGGAGGATTCGCTCCAAGGGGGAGAGCAGGTCAGATGAGTTGGATCTTCCCTCTATTGGACAGTATTTTTTCCTTTTACCATCTTGTACTCTTTCCTCCCTTGGCAAAAGACTGGCTGTCTATGGGGGAGGGGCTGGGGCTTGGATTTTTCTAAATATATTTATATTTTCCTGTTAAATTTGTCTGAAAACAATTATGGAAGCTCATCAGCAGAAGCAAGAACAGATGTTTTATTAAAACTGCAATGCAGTTCTGTAAATATGCACAAGTCTTGGGAAGGAGGGAGGCTCCGTTCTGTTCTTTGTTTCCATCCAAACAAGCCTAGAGAAATCAGAGACCCCCCCCCATCAGGCCCTCCGCCGATCTATGCAGTGCCCTGGGCCTTCGGTCTTCTGAATTAGACATTGAGAGGAGACTTGGTGTCAAGAGCAGATTTTCGCTTTGGGAGTTGTAATTATTGGATTCAAAAACAATCTAAAAATCTCAGAAAAGGAATAAAGGGGGAAAAGTTGCCACTGGCCGCTCCAGTCGCCCCCCCCCTCCCACCGCATCCAAAACACATGCCTTCCAGGAGCACTAATTATAGGAGAGGAATTTACTGCCTGCTTCTTGGGCCTGAGTGGGTGTAGTCACTGGAGGCTTAAGGGCTACACTGGAGCTTGGGCACTTAGGGGTTTCCCCGGATTTCAGTCTTGCCTAGTCTAAGTCAGGGGAAGGCTGGGGGGGGGGGTCCCTAGGCTCTGCCCTGGGGAAAAAATGAGGGAGACTGGACTCCAGCTTCTAGGATGATGTCATGGGCGGGCCTCACCTTGCCTGCCTTTGCTTTCTTCTCTGCTCTGGAAAAAACAAAAGTAGTTTCGTGTGTACAGACATTTGAAATGAGCCTGGTGAGATCTGAAATTTTTATTCCGGGATATTCGTCAGGCAATGTCCTCCTTTGTGTTCTGCTGGTCTCCTTTCTCCTTAGATCCTCCACCTCTATGAAGATCTTTGTGACTGACTCCATTCCTGGCCGCCGAAGCCAACTACAGCTCACTCCAACGCTGGAGCCAGAGCCGGGACTCCAAGCTCCCTCGCCTGCCTGGGCTCCTGGCAGCCTAAAAGATACGGCAGCTGCAGGACGCTGCCCCCTTCACCACATCCAGTTCTTGATTTCCAGCAACACAGAATGGTTACCTCAGTCGGCCCCTTTTGTGCCACTGGGTGAGAGCTGAAATCCCTCTTGCAGAGAAAGCTGAGTTCAATAATTGTTCAGCTCACCTCACAATCGCACTATTTGGTTAAGGCTTTGCTGTTCTAGAGTTCAGCTAGCTTTACCAGCTTATAGCTAAATTAAAAAAAAAACTTAAAAAAAAACTATTCCAAATGCCTGGTGTTTTGTGCACAAGGCCCTTTGATCTCCATGGACCTCGGAGGAAAAGAATTGCAAAGAGAGCGGTGCAGGCCACCAAAGAACCTGACCAAGGTCTGGTCTGCTTGGGAATGCCAAAGCACGGCTCACCCAAGGGGCTCCCAGTTTTTCCTAGATGTGGTAGAGAAAGATTTCCTAACACATACACCCTCCATTCATACTGTGCATTCCTAAAAGAAAGAATGATCCTTTCAAAAGTCAAGCTTAGACACACTGGGAGAAAAGTGAAATTTGACACACCCAACTCGGTGTGTCAAATAGATCCAATTTGTGGGTACTTGATATTTGGTGACAAGGCTTAGGCTGATCAGCTGAAGGGAGCTGGGTTGTCAGTAAGAAAAGAGAGAAGGAGAAAAGGAGCAGAAGGAGTATGTTCAGCTGCTGAAAACTGGCCCAAATAGCTCAGGCCTGTGCTGTGATTCCTTGTTTTGAGCTAAGAGGTTCTGAGCCTGCTGAAGCTGCAATTCAGCATTGAAGAAAGGCACACAGAACGCTCTGCTAAATAATGGCATGTTTTCTCTCCTTCCTGTTTTTGTGAATCTCTGCCTGGCCTTTCCTAACTATACACCACCAGCAGACACAAAAACCCCACTTTTGCACATTTGGCTTAAAATTCAAAAATAAAACAGATCCCATCACACTTCGCCCTGAGATCCCTTCAGGCTTCATCTGGAAGAAATAATTTATGGTTTATGGAGGCCAGGCCCTCAAGCCTTCCACCTTGATACCAAAGCAGCAGAAATATCAGCTGAGGAGAGGGCTTGTGGAAAGCATCTTATCCCTACTGAGAATGGAGAGTTCAGCTGCCTTGGGACATTTCAGGAGGGCAAAGCAAGTGGCCCTATTTGGACTGGAAATAAAAATCAGGACCCAGAATATTTAGGGTACTTTGCATTGCCCAAATAGAACCTAGGGAGATTGTCAGGTGAGGAAGAGTGTGCTGTTCTATGTTAATCCAAAGGAGCCCCCAGCTCTCTGGTTTCTCCTCTGCTTCTCAATGCAGACTGTTAGTTGGGACCATTTTGGAGGTTAATGAGAATTTAAAATTGAAGAATTTGGCATTTATGATATCAGAGTGAGTTGTCATATGGAAATTGTGAAAGTCATAAAAGTATGCCAATAGTTGTATATATGAACACCAAGTCTCCTCTTACCCACTCCCTCTTCTCCTGGTCTAACTTCTCCCATTTGGAAATAAATATTATTATGTTGTAGAACAATAAGCCAACAATGAAACATCGTCATCATTTCTCTATAAATAAGTTTATCCTTTATTGTCAGCAGATCTGAAAGAGCCACTTAATTCATACTGGTGAAAGAGGGGAGAGATGGGGAGAGGGAAATTAATTTCAGAAACAAGAATATTACTTACTGTAATGATACTCTTTTAGATTTGATAGCCAGGGGCAAAATTAAAGGCAAATGTCGACCTCTCTGACTCTATACCTTGCAGGATTCAGAATTTATACGACCCTTTCAGAAGGGGCAATTTAATTTTGTAGGATTTGACAAAATTCACTAATATTTTGGGGGGCTGAGAAGAGAAAGGGGGAAGGTGATGTGCTTTATCTAGTTTTATGAATCTACCAACATTACCCTGGCTGGGAACCCAACCATCTATGTCTGGGAGAAGCTCAAGCAGAAAGGAACGACGAACCCGGAGAAGGAAGAGGAGGAGGAGGAGGAGGAGGAGGAGGAGGAGGAGGAAGATGATGATGATGAGGAGGGCAGAGATGCTCAGGGTCTGTGGTCACTTTACCCAGCCAGTTATGATGATGAGGAGGAGGGCAGAGATGCTCAGGGTCTGTGGTCACTTTACCCAGCCAGTTACCGAGGTGAAGGAAGAAACGCTGTCGGAAAGAGGAGGGAGGTTTGGAAATCTCTCCAACACCAGGACAACCGGAGGTTTATGGTGTCTCCACAATTCCCCTGTCCCATCAGCATTGCCCTATTTTAGGACAATTTCTGCTTCCTCCCCTTGGAAAGGGAAAATGAGGGAGTGCACAAGGTGGGAAGGGTGTTGAAAGGGGGGAGGAAGTTTGAAAGAGCCCTACACTTTGTTCTCCCCAGCGAATTTGCTGGTTTGGCGGGTTTCTGACGCAGGGTGGCAGCAGACAAAACAAGTAAACAAGGCCCAGACACAATAAACAGGGATGTCTAACAGCATCCGTGAGGCTGTGGCTTACTTGAGACATGATCCTGGAGTAATATCCTGACCCCAAAGTCAGTGTGGCCAAGGCAGGAAGGTCTGAGGTCACCCTCTGTTACTGAGGAAGAAAGGCTGTGAACCTCCCGGTGCCACAAGTCTGGGCACGAGATTCTTGGGAGGAACCGAGTGCCTTGGGAGTGCCACAAAACCCCATCCAGCCCAGCTCCTGTCCTCACTTTCTACTGACATTTATATTTCCTCTCAGCTCTCTCTTTGCAGCCCCAGAAAAGCTGCAAAAGGAAGCCAATTAATTGCCAACAGTAGTCCATACTCAAGGCTGGAGGCCCACAGGCCAAAGGGCCTAGCTTGCATTCTAGAGGGACCTCCATCAGCCTTCTCTCCTAGTGGGCCTCACTCTGGTTCAGGTCACTGACAAGACTAAAATGCACCCCCATCAGTCTCCAGATCTGGGACCTTCCAGAACAAATAAGCCCTTCAGACAGTCAAATCTGAAGCCAGGGAGGCAAAGGGAGGGAGAGCTATTCACAAGTACTCTTGCCCCTCCAGGTTTGCCTTCTCCCTCCACAAACCCCTTCAAACACTCTGGACTGCAGCCACCCAGACAGACCCCTGCCCAGAAATCAGCTTAGCCACTACAATCCTTTTGCCATCCCCATGGAGGCTTCCAGTCCCCAGGGCCCAGTCCTGTTGGCTCAGAATTGCTCACAATCTCACAACAACTATGAAAGAGCCCAAAGACTTCACTTTCAAGATGACCCGGCTTTCTCTTTGGAAGACAGCCTGTGAGTTAGCACACTTTTTAGGGAGATGAAGAGAGACAGCAGAAGGGCACAGTATTTCTCAGGCCAGAGGCTTAGATAGCAAAAGCAATAAGCCAAAGCTCACATACTCCAATTCCAGCACACACATTTCCAGCAGAGACACACAGAGGGCCTCCTCCTTGTGCCCATCTCTCCCCTAGCCCACTCTCAGCCAGTGAAGGCAAACAAAATTTTGCATGCACATAAAATGATGTTGATCAAATATAGCCATGGTAATATACGATTAACCACGAGGAAATATGAGTCTCTATATAGTCTTCCCTGAGTCTGAATCTGTGTATTTGAGACTATACAATAAATACATAATGCCACCAAGCCTGGTTTCAAAATACAACAGCCAGCTCAACAAGGTTGCCTTATCCAACCAAGGTCGAATTCTGTAGGGATCATGATTGTCAGAAACAACCGTCAGAGAAAGGGTTTATTCTGCCCATTTCTGCTAGGAACCTGGTATGAAATACAATGGATGGCAGGGCTTACAAAGCCTCTTAAGGAGTAGACCTGAGGGGTCCCAAGAAGTGAGCTCAGAGGGAATGCTGCTAGGTCCTGGGTTCTGAGGAAGTTGCCAAGCTTCCATCCACAGAATCCAGTGACTGCCTAGCCCCAGCAATGAGTGGGCAGAGTCCTTGAGCAAAATTCTATTCTTGGTCCCCCTGACTATTATTAGACGATCAAAAGAGCTCTCCTAAAGTGAGGACCCACATGCACACAGAATTTGGCCTGCAAGGAGTTTAAGGATTGCCACTGGTGGCCCCTCTTGTGCTTCTGTTGGAGCGCCAGAAAGAGAAAGAACCAAGGGGCAGAAAAGCGAAAGTAACTGGCGAGCAGAGTGAGCAGAGTGTTGTATTGAGGTCTGATTTATCCCCTGGCTAGATCGGAAAACTGGAAAACCAGAGCCAGTCACTGGTGGTCTGCTTCTCGGCCTGCCAAGGAGGGGTCTCGGGGTGAAGGGTATAAGATAAGGGGGGAGGCTGCAGGACTGTAGCCAAGAAGAAACAGGAAATCAATAAAAATATAAAGACACCTCAAGCTGGTGTTTTTGACGGGAGCTCTGGCACCCAAACACCTCGACATGGCTATTAGCACATTCAGTAGATTCCCTGTAGGCCTAGGGAAATATCCCAGCCTAGCCCAGGCCCGCCCCTCGGATGGGAGGGGGCCTCTAACATCCCAGGTGAATGAATCCACGCTGGCCCGAACAGCCTTCTCCCCAAACGGTTTTCTTTTGGGTGGAACAAAGGAGACTTATGTCCCCCGAACATCCCCTCCCACGTCATTTCGGTCATTCGCAGGGGCAGGGTCCGACAAAAATACAGGCGGAAGAGAGAAATAGCGGCCTCACCGATCGCGGTTCCCACTGTACGCCAGGAGAAAGGCTCACGTTCTGGCCTCCAGGACCCCTCCACTGTCTCAACGCACTCCCTTGGCCCTTTTCAGGTCCCACAGACTCCCGTCCTGGGCAGCCCTAGCCTGGTTCCCCCCAGCATCCGCCTCGGGGCCAGGCTCGGGCAGCGGGAGAGCGCGCAGCAGCGGGAGCAGGCGGCAGGCTGGGCCCATTTGGGAAGAGCCAAGCGCTTTTCTTGGTCGTAAACAAGGAACGCGAAATTAGCCCCTCGGCAGACGCCTCTGCCGACACACCAGTCCTATTGGGGGGTGGGGTGGGAAAGGGGAGAGAAAATGCCATTTCTTCCCCCGGGAGAATACCTCAGAGGCCTTTATGTCGACTGCAAAAGGGGAATTTTGGGGGGGCTGGGAAAAGGAAGGTGGTTGTGGGGGGGATGGGAGAGAGGATTCACCATCGGCTGTGGCTCAAGGGGTTTGATTTGAATGAAGTCGAATTGTATTTTTAACAATTTGATAAAAACGGGTCCTCTACCCACTGTCCCCCACCCCACCCCCGCGCGCAGGCGATGGGTCTGGGTTTAAACAGGAAATCGAGCTATCCCCTCCCCCACACAGCTAGGCGAAGACTCTCAGTCGAGCTTCTGGGAGAAGACGAGAGGGATTGACTCAGACTGAAGGTGAGTCTGGCTCCCAGTGTCTGGGCCCTCGCCAGGAAAATGCCGCCTTCCCAACTCTAAGGTGTGTCTGTTTGGGTGTGTAAGCATTTTGTGTGTACGCCGCTCTTTATAAACACAGTCTCACACTTTACCGGGTCGCCTCGGACCCCGGCCTGGGAGCAGGGCGGGGTCATATATCAAACTGCAACACAGTCAGGGCCACGTACATTTGGAAGAAATTAAGCCACTGTGTTATGAAACCATATGTGTCAAGTTAAGACTATACAACACGCCATTAGCACCAATTATTAGGAAGATCCAGCATTCTTAAGTCGACCTTAGTCTGACGCCCTTACCGATGAAACCCCA